AAATGTGAGAAAGTATAATTCAATCAATATTTTACTGCAATATATGTTGCATTCATTCAATTTTCATATTTGAATTATTATTTTTTACAAGAAAGCTAATCTATATACAGGAAAGACGTCGATATCGTCATTAACTGAATTTATACTTCTAAGATATAAATAATTAAATTTTTTGGTATATAACCTATGAATATATTCTCATCCTGTCTTGTTTTAAAATATATCTACTTAAATGTACACATAATGTGACTTTTTCCCCATAAGAATTTTGAATTCTGTCCGTGGTGTTGGTACCACTGATTGTTTATGGCCATACTTCGTGCATGCGTTGACGTTCTTCTTCAATACACTTTGGTCGGCCATATTTCCCTGTCGCCGTGCGTGGTGCGTGTGTCTATTATTGAAATTGAATCACATCTCTAGACCTTTGGTAATTATGATCTCATTTCATAATATACTTTATTTTATCTTAGTTAATTTATAAAGCCAACGTGTTTGTGATGGTCACTCCGAGACTTATTGTCGTGATGAATTTCTACCTGCCACCTTGACTCTTGGAGTTTTGGATATGTGTTTCAATCTGTTTGAGTTGTAGTAAGCACGAGGCGACTGCGATGCTGCTATTATGTGTGCTATGTCACGATAAACGACCACAACATTCTATTTAGGCGTTTATGTAATTTACGCCGCGTATTTTTTATTATAGGAACGTATAACTACTGCTGTGTATAAATATCTTATTACAAGTATTCTTTGTGTATTTTAGTTTACCATATAAAGTCTTATTTTATTCTCAAACAAAGCACGACAGCGAACTTAATGAGTGAGGTGACCATAGTTGTTCCTACATAATAAGAAGTGTTAAAGGAGATTTGACAAATACCCTCACCTTATAATAAAACAACATTATTAAATGTTGTGCAAAATATATTTACAGAAGATTTTAAATACATGCAACTGCGAACTTATTTGGTATGTATACTTTAAAGCTCAGCTGAACACAAGATATTGTATATTGTGAACAAGTAACAAGTTTCTAAGTGATTTTCTAGTATCATTGTATACATCATATACAAATGATAATACATATATGTATGGAATAATTTTATAAGTTATTTAATTATTTACTTTTATTTACATTATTCATGTGTGAACGGTAAACAAGTAGTTTTTTTTGTATTATTTCGATATCTTATCAATGAAGCAGATGATGACCTATATCAAAGAGAGTTTCTGATCTTATTTTCTGCTTTTATTTATTTTATTTATTCTTATATAATATATTATATTACTTTTTGGTTGATTAACTTATGCCAATCGTCATCGATATTAATTGCTTTGACTTTCATATAAACATATGTATTTAAGTATATATATGTATATTTCTTAATGCTTCTAAACTGATAATATATATTAAATATTAAATAGTACTCTATGTTTTTGGGACAATAGTAATGTTATACTTATTTAAAATTGTTATTTTACACATTAATCGGTCATTTTTTATAATTAGTTGACACTTTATTTATTTATATCTTGTATATCAAATTATATATTGAATTTGTTTTATAATTATTTATTTGTATATAATATACATGAAATTTTCATCAAAATCTCTAGTAGACTACGAGTGTGATTTAAAGATTCCTATAACAGGCTAGGTACCTGTTGGTTAATTCTAGAAGATTGTAGTACACAAAGGATACAAGACAGTCTATTACATGTCACATGTACAGAAATATAAATAGTTATTATTTTTTTATTCCGTTATGAAAAGTAACAGCATCACAGATACTTTTTTATTATAAGAACTAGTTATTATAAAAATAAGGCAAATGATTACAATTGAACTTCATTCCATTTGAAAAATATTTTCATTATTTATTAGTTAATTAATTGTATTAATCTTCTAATAAGTTGTTGGATTTTTTTAAGTGGTAGGATTCTATCCGAGCATATTTATTTAAAGATCTTTGTAAAGATTGTATGGTTTATTTTTTAAGTCTGTCTATGTATGTGTGTATGTATGTATTGGAATTCAAAGCACTTAATATTTTATAATGTTCATACTAGATTGTATTGGAATTTTATCAGAATTACCTCATATTAGTTATTATTGAGAAATATACCTTAAAGGCTAACTCACAAACTATATGTTTATATCAATATTGTTACCAGTTAATAAGTAGATGCAATTAAAAAAATGCACAAAGAATTTAGTGTCAGTAAGTACAGATGACTGTCTGTCTGTGACAAGATAAAATTTACTCATGATAATATTAACGGGGTCTGTTAATTAATTTTATATTTGAAACTATACAGAAAAATGTTTAGGTAGCCTGTTATAGATATTTAAAGATGTATAGAGTAGATTCATCAGACTTTGATGTTGGATGCTTGGTGGTTGGAGTGATTGCATTTTGTCATATTATATAAAAGTTATTATATACATAGTATAAGTATATATCATGTATATGTATATATCTTTATATATATAATTCTTCTGTCAGTGTGTATGTCACTGAACTTCTCTCAAACGACTGGACCGATTTTGATGAAATTGTTTTGTGTGGTTCAAAGGGATCTGGAGATGGTTTAGATTCACAATTTTGTCCGCTGGACAATGTTTTTTTAATTAATTTTTAATTTATTAGTAGTTGTCGATACAAACGTTTTTTTTGACATTAGATTTGACAACTAACTAATATGTCAATCATTCTGTCGCACTTCAAAACACGGAGATTTATGGCTTTAATAGATAAACTCCAAAAATAGAAATAAAAAAACGTAATATATTTCTTGATTATAGGGCTATACGAAGTGCGCCGGGTCTTCTAGTATAATATATATTGCGTCCACTTGTAATACAAAAAGCCACAGTAATATTTATATTGTAAATAATAATATGCGAATGCAGCGCGAATTTTCATTATTTTATAGTTCGGTCGTGTTACTTGACATTAATATATTTTATTACTATTTTCATGTATTGAATGAATCAAACTTTATATTGTTTAAGTTTGATGACGTCGCGTCACCCTCGATGACTTATGCGTTTGTAGTTTTTGCAAGATGCGATTGTTTTTTGTTTTCAATTATCTGTTCGTTTAGTTTATGGTATATATGTATGTATGTATGTATTAATCCACCTTTGTATAATAACGTTCATACATTAAAAGTTAATTTAAGATAATTATGTAGAATTTTTTGTTGATGATTTCACTATAAAAGACACGTGATATTTATAAAAATATCCATATAAAAATATTGAAATTTAATACTAACGAATTGCTTTCATATTTCCAAATCACTCGAAACTTCCATTCACTAATTAATCCGGGATATAACGTTTGTGTAAAATTTAAAAAAAAATGTATTCTTTGAAATGAAACAGTTCATGGAATTGTAACTAAATCCGATTGGATGTTATTTTTAAAATGAATCCTACGTATATATAGCATTCGTTCCAATTAATTAGTTCTACTTCATGTTGACTAGTAAATACTAAATAAATGAATTCCAGTAATCTCTGTTCGATATTAAACATTTTGTTTGATATCTGAAATGTTCATTTGTTTGAATGATTCAGAATGATTGAGGAAGCTGATTTAGCGTTGCGTTTATAAGCAACCTAATATATATATATACTTAAATAAGTATTAGTATTATATGTATTATGTGTCGTATTATTTCCAAATTTAATTTATAGTAACAAGCTGATGCTACACTATATATGATATTTTCTTTCAATTCATATAAGTTTTTGTCGTTTTATTATAATCATGAAATGGAGCTACAAGATATTAAACTAATATCATAGTATTATATTAAAACATTTTATATCTTTTATTAGGAAGAATATTGTTTTTGATTCTCATCATACGTACATATTGGATGCGATTTGAATAGGTGTTATTATAGGTTGTAAGATTTTTTCCTATTTCTTTAACACCAATGTCTTATTCGTTGAAAAATATATGAAGGAACTTAAAGAATGGTCTGAATAGAGACGAGATCTCATGTTAGTTCAAGGTATCAATTAAACAAAGTGGTACGTGTTTAAGAACCAGTTTAAAATGCGTATTATTGATATGAAGGGTGGTTTCTGTGAATGGAAATATGTGTAATGGTCAAATTAATAGAAAAATAGTATGGAACAAGTAAAACTTTGCGTAAAGTACATAAACGCCTAGTTGCATCTTCAATTTATTTAAATAAATGTATATACCTTACTGCTATTGCTACCATGTATGTACGTTAATTAACGAAATAATATAAACTTTTCGTATCTAGTTTGAGAAACCAACTCGTAGTAATGTATGGGAAGTTCGTCTTTCAAGATGCAAGAGATCGCACTGTCGTCAACTATTTAGCTTAACTAATTAGCTTAAGTTCAAACTATGCGAGGGACCGTCTTGTAACTTGTAATAAACTTAATTTAGTTAATTAAAATGATTTTATCGTAAAATTAATTAAAAAAATGTAATTATTCCTAGGTATTAAAAGATTATATGTCCTAACGTCGTTATGAACGTTAGATTAATCGAACCTGAAGAAAAAATTATATTGGCTATAATTAATTTAATATTTGTAAACTGCACATGAGTTATTTTGTAAGTTCCGAAAAATCTCGCTGGGCAGAGAGGAGGGAGGATACTTTGACGTAAATGTATATGGTGGGGGAAACGCGGGGTCTGTGAGGTCCGGGGACGGGGTGTTTCCGGGGGTGTCCGGGTGTATCCGGGTGGCCAAACCCTCGCGGGCCGGCTGGGTGGTGCATAAAGTAATAGCTCACTCACTATTGGTGTAGGCGGATATGACCTATTCATATTCAGACAAATCATTAGCCCACACAGAGTAGCGACAGGCTGGCCCGCCAGCAATCAATCAACTGCAACATTTAATAAAGTACAAATTTTTGTGTTTCTGTTTACAGTCGCCGCTAGCTCCAACGCGGACGGTCACTCTCTACTGTAACACTACATAACATAACATATACAATGGGAGATCGTAACAATCCTATTAAGTTCGGCCCCGAGTGGCTGCGTAATTTGGCACGCGAGCGTACTGCTGGGAGGGCGACTACAGTACAGACAGCCACAAGGCCCGGGGCCGCGGGAGGCAGCAGGCCTGCCGGGTCCCAGGGGGCCGGCTCGACGTGCACAGGCTCCCCGGGGGCCGGCCCCTCTACAACCACGGGAGTATCGAGTTCGGGCCCCGTGGGGGCCTCGCTGACTACAGGGCCCGCGGCCTCCGCAGCAGCTTCCAGCACGACCGCAGTCGCGGGCGCCTCAGGGACAAACTCAAGAAATACAAACAGTAACCATCAGAAGATACAGCTCGCTAAGCTGAGGTGAGCCTAGAATGTGCTGTACATACACACACATAACATAGTTACATGTTCTGTAGTTGCTAACTAACGTTGAACGTTGTCGTCCAGATACGGCAGGGAGGAAATGCTGGCATTGTACGACAGGAACGCGGAGGCGCCAGAGGAATTGAAATACTTCGACTTGTTGTACCAGCCGCGGGGGAAACCGCCTGTTGCTCTCAACACATACGACGATGATACGGTCAGTATTACGTACATAGTGTTCACACACACACACACACACACAGACACGCACACACACAAGCAGATAACATCAATAATATACTTCGTCTCACTTACCGAACGTCTTCGTACCTAGAAATAGAAAAAGAATATAAGTGAACTGTTCTATATCATAAAAGACACTATATCTTGGACATATAAATAACTAGCTGCGCCCCGCGGTGTTACCCGCGGATTTCCGGGATGTTAAGTAGCCTATGTGTTATTCCTGGACGTCAGCTTCCTGTATATAAAATTTTATCAAAATCGGTTCAGCCGTTTGAGTGTGAAGAAGTAACAAACACACACAAACTTTCGCAATTATAATATTAGTAGGATTAATTATTACATCCAACTTATTTGTTTACATGGTATTAAGACAAAATATTAAATTTCTTAGATTTTTGTACCGTGTGTTGGTCTTTCTGGTTGTCGAAGAGGGAGGGAAAAAAATATACAACTGACAAAACTATGGACATGAATAAAGTCGGGGGTGAACGCTAGTTAATTAATAAACTATTATAATTATTAAAAAGCTTACATTTCTTTTCATATCTCCAGACTCCAATCAATCACTGAACTACACTCACTAAATACTAGTCAATTAAGTTAAAGAATTTAATGAGAAGTTGTCAAAATAAAATTAGAGTTTTTGATGTAATATATGATATGTGGTGATAAGATCGTATGTTAGTTAGTCTATTTGGTATATGTGACTGGTTGTATCAATGCGAGACGTTGTTCGTGAATGACGCGCTAGTGACAATAGCAAGGGGTATGTGACACGTCGCCTCTCATCTCACCTGTGGGCTAGGTGGGAGGCTGCGTGCCAGGGGTGGCTAACCGGGGGCTGGTGTTGCAGCGGGAGGCGCGCGGCCCGGGGGCGGGGGCGGAGCGCTACGGCGCGGGCCGAGGTCGAGGGGCTCCGGTAGAAGTGCGCGGTCGCTCGCGGATGCCGTTCGTGAGGCACGCATCAACCGTCTCCGCTGGCAGGTTTGGAACTGTTTTCATTGTATCGCGATTATTAATATCGGAATCGGTCTAAGGCGCGAAAGACGTCCTTTGGTAGCGGTCCTCGCGCCGGCTGAAGGTAAGCTTACACACAAACACACACACATATGTATATAAGTACTTCATCGAGATTGGTTGACAATTTTACTAATAATTTATATTAATTTTGCGAAAGGTGTAAATTAATTTTAATAAATTAGTTCGCAAAAATATTTCTAGCTACTTCCACATGCGAGATTTCGTCACATTAAGTGTGAGTGCGTTTTTCTGTTACACCGTCACTAATGACGTTGAATTAGCGAATGTTTAATTAATGATATAAAAATCTAGCCGTCTTAAATTACTACATATATTGTTTCAATGAATTAAAATGTTAAAATTGTAAATATTCGGCATGTTTAATAACGAATTTATTGTTATCGGTAACTAACAGTAATTGTTCCCGGTTCCTAATGAAGCTCGCGTTACTACATGAGTTTTCCACGTACACGACCGGATACTTTAATAACTATTAACACTAGAAAATAGAAAATGATACAATCGTATGAAATAATGTTATTATAAATAACGTTTATAATTATATATACATCGGAAAAAAATATGATTAGACTTTAAAGATTATCCGTCGGCGATGCGATTGCTTAAATTTTATATACATATATGTATACCTAGGTAACACTGAAAATGTTTAGAAAATGAAAAACTGCTAAATGCAGAAAGTTGCCAATAATTTTATTTTGAAGTTATCTCCGTTCCTCCCTACAAATCGTCGCGTTCGATGGAACCACTGAGAAAAGCAATGGGCCCATTTTTCCTAAGGGATTTCTTCTATTGCATCTTTATCCGCTTTCGCCGCATCTTCAATACTTTTAATACCTCTAATATTATCTTTAGTTTTTGGCAATAAATAAAAGGCGTAGGACACCAGGTCAGGATCGTAGCGCGGATGACTCTTTATTTCTAAACCTGCAACACTTCAATTTTCACCAGTCCGTTTTGCTGAAGAATTGTCGTTCGAGGGCCTGCTACCGAATTTTTTTCCAATACTATAGGCTCAAAGCGATTGACATACCAGTCTGCAGTAACTGTCCTTTTGTCTTTTAAGACATTTGTCGCGAAATGATTTATTCGTACCAAATAATGAGGCAATCATTTTTTTCCTCGCCTTCTTCCTTTTTTTATATTAGTTGGCCGATCCTCAGAAGGAAACACCGAAAGAGCTTATTGTTTTTTTTATGGGAAAAGGGGGCAACAGAGCAGAACGTCTATCTGAGGGAGGTAGTACCGTCGGCTACCGTATGGCCATACACACGAAACGTAGATTTGCGTATGAGTTGCCGCCCACGATTGTGGAAAAGGTGGGAGGAAAAGTTGGGAAATGGAGGGAAAGAAAAGGGTGGAAAAAGGGAAAGGGCAGGAAAGGGTGGGAAAAGGGAAAGGGCAGGAAGGGGTGGGAAAAGGGAAAGGGTAGGAAAAGGGAAAGGGCAACCGGCTCTCTCACTCACAAAACGCAGCCATTCAAGACTGCTTCACGCCGATTTTCTTTGAGAGGGTGGTACTTCCCTGTTCGAGCCAGCCCATGTTCGAGCTGTAGTAACTTGCCACAGCTAGGCTCTACCTCTTCACAAAATAATTAAATTGTCTTTTTATTTAGGGTTCGTAGCAACATGTATCCAACTTTCATTACCTATGGTGATTTCAAACAGCATTTGAGTCACCTCCGAATATACTTATCTAACATTTTTCGACACTAGTCCATGTGAAAGTGTTTCTGGTCGTCAGTTAATGTAAGAAGAATCCATCTGGTACAAAGCTTACCGACGGCTCCAAGTTCGTGTAATATTTTTAAACTTGGTTCACACCAAAAACTAAGCTTGTCCGTATCTGCTGAAAGGTCACTTTTCTATCTACCTCTATCCATGCGTCGCAAAGCACTGATGTTATCTTCAGCAGTGGCTGTTAAAGGACGTTCCTCACGGATCATCATTGAGATTGCTACATTCAACCTTAAACTCGTTAAACCAACTGTAAACAGTGGCACGAGATGGGGCTTCATTAAGAAATGCTAATCGCGGCCTATCATAGCTTTGTACTTAACTAAGCCTACAACGAAAGTCATGGTACATCATTGACCGAAAATTTTCTCGCGTTAAGTTCATTTTCACGTGTAACAAGTTTTAGATTTGCCGCCAATTAACAAAAACAAATGACAGATGAATGCAATGTAAATTACAAAGGAGTTCTAAAATTGAAATCCAAAAAAAATTGTTATTAGCAACTAGTAAACCCGGCGAACTCCGTTTCGTCACCAGAAGGCTTTTATATAACTTTTCGTTTGGTGATTAAAAGATGAAGATTTTTTTTTTATTTTATATTTGAAAAGGAAAATTTTATTTCATTTCACAACAGTAATGAATTCATTTCGATTACAAAAATGAAGTGTTATTTAGTTGAACTTCTCTAAGTAAATGAAAGTGAATCCAAAGTAGATACGGAATCGAAGCGTTATGCGTGTCCGCAAATTATGCGTTTCATTGAAGTGGTCTTTTGTAAACCACATTTTTGTTTTTTGGTCTAACTTTAACACAAATAAAGCGGATGGTTTCCAAACTCGTGAAGACGCAAAATATAATGCCCATGTGAAAAAAAAATGATTTTCTAAATTTATCCCTCAAATACTAAATGGTTTTAAGAGTTCAAACTACAAACCCAGTACCGGTTTGTCACATGAAATTAACTGAGCAGAGAACAATGAGTAGCTGTCAAACAATGTATTATGCACCGGTATCATCTACTTAAAATATTGATTTGTAGTACATGTTATGTATGATGGCGCTGTATGTGCAAAAAGATTTTCCCGCTCACGGAGCCCGAGACCTTTCCAACGAATGCAAAACGGTGGAAATTGGTTTTTTCGTTCTGAAGTTATAGAGTCAGGATGGAAAACCGGACTTATTTTTATATAGTAGATCTCTTACAAATATCTCATTGTCATCCATACGTCATTACATAACTGTCATTATACGTCAATTGCATAGCTGTCAATTGTTATTCCACGTTTTATAGTGACTGACGTTTCATGTCAAGTCCCACGGGAATGCTGTCGAACGGGATAAAAAGTCCTATTGCAATTTCTTGGCTCCAAACTACCTCCCTGTCAATTTTCAGCTAAATCGGTTCAGCCGTTCTTGAGTTATAAGTGGAGTAACTAACACGACTTTCTTTTATATATATAGATATTTCTGACTGGCCAATTGTAAACATTTTCAGTGTTACCCACGTATATATACAAATAATGACAAATTATAGATGTATCGGATCCGTAATAAATACAATTGATCAATCCTTACTTAGAATAATTCTCAAAGTATCCAAAGTTCATATAAAATGGAGTTTTCCAACTAGAAGGTAGATGTGACTGTTGTATTGTACATGTTAGATAAAAAACTTGAGTCAACCAAAACAAGAGTCATTTTAAGCTAAAGAAAACTTCGGCAGTAAGAGAGCGACGGTACTATTGTAAATACGATACTGATTATTATAATTGGTATCTATAACGATCATATTAGAAACATGGATTAATATTCTAATTAAATTCACAGAATTATGTTTTTTTTAAAGAAATTTTCTTTGTACTCATCATAAAAAGCTGAATCAATCGCTTGAAAATTCAAATCCATATGAAAGACGTCATCAAAACATGTTTTATTATATAAAGATTTCGTTTCTTCGTATTTTCATTATTTTATTCCGCGAACAAATAAACATTACACTTTAAAAACCCTCGCCACGTCAAAGGGGGATGTAATGAAAATGTTTTGAACATTTCGGAGCCGGTTCCACATAGAGTAAAGACGTCGCATGCTGAACTTACAGACGTTGAAGTTTGTTGAAACTTGAGCCTTTGTTGCTTTGTGACTCAATGAAATTACAGCAACCACTCATGTGCTGTAATTAGGTAATTAATTATGTTAAATAAACGAATCAGAGACTTTCAGAATCAGCGGACATGCTCGTGAACATGTTCCTAGACTTAGCCTTTTATATTAAATATCAAGAGAATTTCACTAATATAACAGTACTATGAGACGGCGGTTCTTTAAGAATATTTTAACTATGTTAGCTTACATTAATTATATATACAGAGATGTTAGAGATGAAACTAAACATACTTTGATATAGATTTAATATATTATATGGTTATTAATTGGTATCTTTTGTGCAAAGATTTTACTTCACTTTTACTTTATAGACGTGGAAATAGTTAAAAAAACATATAGACAAAAACATATATTTTTACATATTTTGGCCACTATTATTAATATGTTATCTCATACTCCATACGTGTAGGTTTTGTAATATGTTAAAGATCTTATTTGTATGTAATTAACGATATTAATATGTATGACGTCACCGACGGACACTGAAACTACAAAGATAGAATTAAATACACGCCTCAAATTAAACCACAGCCTCGCACGAACAGGGTGTTTAAAATGCATCACTTAAAATAAATACTACCTTTGGTAATCACCTGTATAATGTATCGATAAATTATTTTCATGAAATTTTGCTTAAACTTTTTCTATATTGATTACTTTAACCATGAAGGTATGTCATAAGTTCAAAGAGGAAAGGTCGTAAAATTTACCCTTTCAATGAAGTTGACCCCTGGTATTATTCAGTGAATACAGCAAATCACGCTCGTAGTGTAGTGATGTTCGTTTTCACGGATACATATCCACTTGGTGCAAGTATCCGCGGATACGAGAGCGGATGTAAACATCTTTATTCAATATTCAGTTTGATAGTAGAATACGATTACATTTTGCCAGATAAGATCTGTGTCTTGCGAGGATTTTTCTCTTTTAGTTTGTTTTTCAATACCATCCCATCACCTATACGTGTTTATTCTGATTCAACAAGTGAAATATCTTTGTTGTCTCTCGTGAGAATATAAAATATTATTATTTTTTATATGT